TCAATATCTTGAAAAGAACGTAAATTAGAAATTTGAAAAACTAAATCTTGAAAGAATATTATAATTGCTACTTAAGATTTTAAAAAACTCAAAATTTTACTGCAGAAACTGATAATAAAAGAAAAATTGAAAAAATATTGAGTGGCGGTGATAATTTTTTTTAATAGTACAGAGAAAATCAGGAAAGATATTGAGAATTTTGAAACAAAAATTGTTAGATATTGAAAAGACTTAATTTATAATTGAAAAAATAGAAATCTTAAAAAGGGGATTCAAAATATTGAGAAAAAAACTAATCTTAGAGTTCAATACATTGAGAAACAGTACCTATTAAAATTTTGTTATTTTAAGAGAAATTAAAAATGTTGATTAAAAAAGTTAGGATTTTAAAGCATAAACTGAGAAATTTGAAAAGATTTTGAGATACGGATTTTAAAAACTTAAGAAAGATTTTAAGAAGAAATTAAATTTCTTGAGACAAACATAATTATTTCTTCAAAACCTACGTAATATAGAATCTTTAGAAAAGTGAATAAAAAATACACAACAATATAAAAAAATAAAAAAATACGTGTTAAAGATAAGCTTAAAGTTTTTAAAAATAAAGTTTTGAACCTAAAAACCGCTAGAATAAAGAGCTTGTAGAACTACAAACACAGAAGAAATTTGGAAAAATATTGAGAATTTTAAACCAAGAATTCTTAGATCTGGAAAAGCTTTGTTTAGTGGCAAAAATCAGAAAATAGTTTAGAAAAAATATTTTTTTGAATAAACAAAAAAATAAAGAAACACGTGTTAAAGATAGGCTTAAAATTTTTAACCACTTTCAAGACACTATCTTTAATTCCCTTTTCTCAAAATTACACAGTCTTTAAATCTGAAGAAAACTTAACATCTTAGGGTTTTCATTGCTCATTAAAATTGTAAATTTTTATTTTTTCTAATTCAGCTATCTTAAAATTCGATATCTACTCTTCATTCAGGATTTCAAGAAAAGATAATAAATGTGTTTCAATTTTTTGAATTTTTTCTACTTTTACACTTTTTTAAATCATTCACAGATTCTGCTTAAAAATTTTAACTTTTTGGCAATTTCAAGATTTTAGTAAGAATTTTAATCTAGTCGTTCTTCTCATGATATTAAAAAAACCCAAAACCCAAAAATCTTTAGGAAAATTCTATTGAAATAGTTTAG